TTAAAAACCTGAGAGGACACACATATAATTTAAAGCCACCAACCTTATCAATTTTGTTTCCTATCAGCATTTTGACGAGGTCATTTCTTGTGCAATACGTTTCCAACTCACTGAGCCAGTTGTCAAGTTTGGTAAAAGTTTCACGTCGTGTGACATCGTACACTGTCGCATAGCAAAGAAAGTGTACATTATAAATATGAGTATATATATTTATGTATACACATATACACAGACACTTATATACACACACACACACACATACAAAAATCTTATCAATGTGACAAATTTACCCAGAATCACACCCTGGGCACCACGGTAGTAACTCGGCGTTAGGGTTCTAAAGCGTTCTTGTCCAGCTGTGTCCTGCAAAAACATACTGCATCATTACTGAACACACATTCTTGTGACAAGAAAAACTACAGATGGATCTGGTAAACATTGAGAGAATCTTCTATTTCCTTTGAGGTGCATAAGGGTAGAAATAGTGATACATAAGCGCCATCTTCTGGCGTGTTGAAAGAGTAGCCAGATAGGAGTCAGTGATGAGTCTAACACTGAATCTTTCTATACTGACAAACAGACAGTTGCTGCCTGTTTTTGTTTGAATAAGTGTTACTGGAAAGATAAATGAGCCTTTAAACTTACCCATATTGCCAACTTTGCCCTGTTGCCATCCACAGAAATGGTCTTGACTTTGAAGTCAACACCTGGACAATGAAAAGACACCCAGTCACTCAAACGGACATGATTACCTCATTCAGCTACAGTTCCAGTATGATGACTCTTTCAGGTTTGGTCAATTTCTGCCAAGAATATTATATCATGCTGACACTATAATTATTGATGATGAATTGTCAAAACATAGTTTACCACACAATGTCTCTGAACTTCTGTTAACCATAGCCATTCAGACTGGCATAATGCCCAATCCATGTCTTTTAGTACATTATTCTTTGATTACGCATTCATATCCATGGCAAGGGGGCAGTTTGAGTTCATGTCTACTTGATGTCTAAACTAAAACCAATAAAAAGGTCAGTACAGAAAGTACTTTACCTGTCAAAAAGCTCAGAGGAAAAATTCACTTAAAACCAATCCCTCCAAGAATCCAATGGACCTTACATTTACATATTAATAAAAGTGTTTACTGTGTCTCTTTTACCAAAAAAGCAAACCACTTCTATTAATTTTGTGCAGTGCCCCAGTATGGAGAGTGCACACAGTTTGGATGAAAAACATCACTCACAGGTTTACCAGGTCATTACACACTTGATATGGCTTTTTTAACCATTTGGATAAGGGAGGGGAGTTCAATTCATGGCAAAACAAAGGAAGGACAAGAAAGGATGGAACAGGGGGCATTCAGAAAGGCTGAAGGGTACATAAATTATAGAATGTGTGCCTTAAACAAAAACATACAGTCTGTTCACACAGTTAATTACAATAAGTGGGTCTTTCTCAGGTCCAACAGCTTTGCTCAGAATCTGCTAACCAGGCACATGTGAAAATGAATTGAAAAAACATTTCCCAGAACCTGGACCATTCTTTGCTACTGTAATTCACCATAAATGTACACGTCTTTCTCGTGGCACACACAGTAAATTAAGATTCCACAATCAGTGAAAGTAGACTGTGTTGATATCTATAGGCCAATTCATTGATGGTAGACTTGTAAACAAACCATTTGTCTTCTGACATAAACAGAATAAGGTAATCACATAAAAACTAAAAACTGAAGAAGACATTGTTACAATTATTGAACTCAACATAAAAATAAAATCATAGAAACTTGAGGCAAAAGCTGGAGATGACTAAATGAAAAACATATGTTTGGCAAAGAAACTATTTGCCAAGTAAAACAGTAGCAATTACTGCTAGACCTTGACAAAAAGTGTTTTCGTTGTTTCCTTTTCTTGGATACCGTGCTTCGATTGTTTTCACAAAGATGGGACGTGAGTTATGAGTGCTTTACAAACTAATGCATTAGCCTATGGAACAATTTTTCTTTCACATTTTTTATCAAGTTTAAAATCAATCTAAATCTCTGTGGTACTTTTACAGCTCATCTTCGACTCCTAACATATACTCTAAATTACTAGCACAAAATATTGTCCTGTAAACATGAAGCAAGGCTGGTGACTGGCGAAAATATAAAAAGTCTTGTGATTTAATGGATTTTGATTCACAGTTGAACAGTGGCAAGTTAAGACTTATTTACAGCAACAATTGCCCAACAAACATAATGGATTTTCAGAACAATCTTCATTTAATTTACTCACCTATTGTAGCAGACTGTTCTGGGTCAAATGTGTCATCTGTAAATCTCAAAAGAAGGCTGAAGGGGGAAAAAAAAGCAAATAATATTAACAGGAAACAAATACAATTGAGCATCATATTTTTCTTAGTGTAAAAGATGTGTATCTGAGGCCAGTTATATAGTTAGACTCTTGAATCTTACTCTGCAGAACCAGGTTTGTCCAATCTCTATACCTTTCTATTGATCACATTGTCAGCCACTTGCATTACATGTAAAAGCTTCAGATATCACTACTACCCTGCAGTAAGAGAGACAGGGTTCAACTCTTAACGGTGACAAATCAAGTCTCCAGTCACAGTATAGATAAGGGGGATGAGCTCATTACTTTAAAACTATTGAAAGAAAGCGTGTGTTTATCGTTTGAGTGCCTATGCAGCCAAGGAACTATTTTGTGTACCATTTGTTCAGGTAAAATTAATCTGTTTTCTTAAAGGCAAGCAAAAAAAATCATCCTTTTTGTTTAGCAGACAACATATTCTGGTGCTGTTCATTGTAAAAAAGCTATACAACAATAAAGCAATACTATAAACACTAATAAGACTAAACTGCTTTCTAGAACAACAGACTAAATCTGAATAATGAATCAGCGTACTGCACACAGTGAAGATGGCCATGTGTTGATTTTAAATGTAAAATCAAATATAAGCAAACTTAATATAAGCCTGTTATAGAATCAGAATCAGCTAAAATTGTGCTTGGCTAAAAAAGCTTGCTTTTAATGTAAACATATTTATAGAACTAATTCAGCTTAAAGTAAGAAGAAATCAAACCGAAGAATATGGGATGAAAACACAGCAACAGGATCTCAACATTGATACTGCATCAATTAGCTCTGGAATAAACAGAAGAATATCATGATATCAATTCCACGTGTAATCCTTTTCTAATAGCACTTTCTTTACTTCAAACTGGAATTCTGTCAAGTAGTTGAGGACGTCTGGTTCAAAGTGAAATGTTTTTCTTGGGGAGACGCTGACTTGTAAAAAACTCTTTACCATTGGCTTAGTAGCTTTAGAAGACATGGTGCGATCATAGTTTACCACGAGACGGTTGACAGCCAAGGCTAGTAATGGCGATTTTTCCAGATTGGACGATTGCTATGAAGAAAGGCAAAACTGAATTCTCTCGTCAGTGGCACAAACCATAAAATTAACAAATGGAACAAGAAAAAGGGGTAAAAGAAAATAACTACTTTGGTAGACGGATCGTCTTTGAATACCAAGATAATTTTGGTGGAACCTGTGATTATCGTAATGGTAAAGTGGAAGATATCACCCCGCCGTTATTCTTGAGTCCATTAGCCGGTTTAAAAATTGGCATTAGTTCCAGTTAAGAACAGGCATAAATGTTATCTTGATTGCAATGTCTATAGCCATCTGCACCATGCCTGAACAAAGATGATGTCACATAGCTTGCTACTGTTAGCTACAAAACTAGTGATTGAAATATCTCAATTTGCTTATCGTGACCTACGAATGTGGTAATACCTTCAAAGTGACAAGGACAAGCGTTATTCGTTATTCTGAAAAGGGACTTGTTACATCGTCCTCATTTTCCGTGTCGCCACAAAGCTAAAGCTACCAAGCTAACGTTAGCAATTAGTATCGACATCCATTTCTCAGAGAAAGCTTCAGCTTACCTGGATTTCCCAACCCCACTTTCTCCGATTATCAATATTTTCAGCGTCGTTAGTATGTCATCTTCCATTTTCTCTTTCCGTAAGATGTATCTCTTTCGATAAACGGCTTCAACTAACTGTAAGGGGTGACGTTGTACTACTTGCGTCCTTATTTAAAGCTTGCATTACAAATACTTTGACAGCTTGTCAGAAAGACGTCTCACTCCAACCATATCCTGCATGACTTGCTTGTACTTCCGGTTGGAATAAGCGACACGTTGAATATATGACTGATAACATAACAAAACCGTACACAAATCTATTATTAATTGTGTGTAATCATGTAACTTCATTAGTTTGACTATCACTTTTACACGCATTTCACTGTGTCAGGACTGTTCAGAAACTTTGGGACATACATTTTTTAAATCTGTAGAAATAAAGATAATATGTATGGGTTATTCTAAAATGAAAAATGGATGGCAATCCTTAATTTATATTGGAAAAATCAAATTCGTATATTGCATAGCAAACCCCCATGTGTCTGTAAGTGCTCAAGCTTTTGTCACACATAATACATTTATTCTTTTCCAGGTTCAGAAAACCAAAGTGAACATTCACATAACATGTGCTTCAAAATTTCAAAAGGAAAATTAAAGCCCTATTGAATACAATGCTAATGAATGCTGGTATTCAGATAAGGCTATATAAAATATGAATACAATTAAAAAATGGAAAATGTTATTTGTCTTATGTTTGTAAATGTCAGACCATTTCCACCGAAACTGGTTTTCATTTAATCTCCTAACTTTAACAAGCAGTGCTGATCAAGAGCTAAAATTTTGAGCCATCAGATATTTTCCAAACCGATTTATTGTGCTATAAGAGTCTCTTAGAATCTGTTTTATTCACATTTCCTCTACAAAATCTAAATTCACATTTTTAAAATAATTTTCAAAAACATTTTTACATTTAATCAAGTAAATGTGTTAAGGAGTTAAGTTTAGCAATTCTGAGATCATTATCTCTGTTTTCTTTTTGAGAAATGTAATATTTTTAAAAAAGATCTTTACATTTATACATTTCAAGCCCTTTTGACATTTCTTAAAAGGCTGCAAGCATAATATTTTAAACATTTATATTCTTTTCATATATATTTCACAAAGCATGCATTATTTTTAGTCCACACTTCTTGGAGAACTATAGTACTAGTCATTCTTAAGTTTTTTGGAAAGATTGCTGGTAATTCCAAATGAAACTTAGGGGGGAAAAATGCATAAACAACTTTTAGTCACATGCTGGATGAAGCAGACAGAAGGTTTTTGTTTTCTATTTTAATAAATATCTCATGAACAGCATTTGAAGAGAGAACTGTAATGAAATAAAAGGCACTTACACAATAACAGTGAAAAGCTTGCATGTGATATTTCAGAGGCAGTTGGGTGTGAGCACATTTCAAACATGATTCATGTCACATCTCAACAAATAATTGTGATTAAACGTTACAGTCTAAAATAATATGAAAAGACATAAACCCACATATATGAGTTTACACAGTCACTGAACAAACCGACAGAAAACACACTTTGCACTTGACAACACACACAAAAGAACAGAGGATGTGACCTGAGAAAAAAGCAAATGCACAAACTATCTTTTTACCTCACCGCAACATTTATCGTAGTACCATGAATTTGATTATCTTAACCAGTGGTATAAAATCCCTTTTTATCGTATAGAGATATTAAAGATAATTGATTATTGATATTATCTTGTGTTTTCATTCCTTCAAAATAGACAATAGTGCTCATTAGGTATGCAAATCAATCTTCAAACACTGGCATTTTTATATTTCAAAATTACATTTACAACCATTGTATAATAAGCTGGTGTTTACAATAGCTGTCAGATTTCAGTTAAATGCTCAGAAGTTCCTATTTCTGTTGTGTCTTTCAAAACACACACTGATCAGATGTGCAGCTACAGTTGACCAGTAACATTATAATGAGGTTTTGTATGGGGCGCACATATATTATTGGAGCACAAAAATAGACAAACAGGGATTCAGAGTAAGACAGCAAAAGAATAAGCTTTTTGCATATTTTGTCTATTTAAAAGTATCCATGTTGTGTTGATGGAAATTTGAAAAAAGCTAAATTTTCTGCCTGTATCAGTCCATTGGCAGAGAAAAAAACCTGCACCTGTATCAACTACTGCAAATATGCAAAGTATATACATAAACTGTATACTGTACATCTAAAATAAAACAAATGCATAGAAATCAAATCTGTTAGTAAAAAGTAACAACAAAGTGGCCAAATAATACATTAAAATGATGAAGCATCAAGTCAAATGCACACACTTTCCACTGTGTGCTCCCATCAAATTCCAAACCAACAGTAAATACTGCAGATATTTGATATGAGCCATATCTAGGAAGCCATTATTTGCCCTCATATTTGGGATTCACCACAGTTGTCACAGCACTTTTGTAGATTGGATTTTCACCCTGAAAGTACAAAAGATATGAAAGTTACAAAATTATAATAAAATGTCCTAATTTGGCTCAATCACTATAGAAAAGTACGTTTCTGTTTGGCATGTTAATACATATGGAAAAATTACATGAAAATTCACACTTATATATTAGTCATTAAAGAAATAAAATAGGTCATCACTTGATATTCGTGTCATGTTTTCTGATCACACTTCCCAAGCCATGCTTGTGTGATGAGCCGGTTATGTCTCCATATTTACCATCATAATATACTTACATGGCAAAGTTCTGTTTTTGTGTTCCTTCTAATTACACTTAACACCCACAAACACTGTAGAAGTCTATGAGTTGTCTGCCGCATTGTTCTTCACAGCACACTCATGCAGACGTCTTCAAGGACATTGGGAATATCATTCTTCCTACTCTATAATGTGTTTGCTGGTTTGACTACATAAAGAGATTCATTTGAAATAAGGGGAAGAGGTAGTGAACTCATGAAACACAAACAGGCCATGCAGAAAGGTGCAAGGAACAGAAATACAAACTTAAAGGACAGCAGCTTTACGTCCATAGTTTGGATTCTGGAACTGATTGATTGGACTCTTGTAAATGGGGTTGTCTTGCTACAGGTAGAGAATGAAGACAGCAATTCAGAGGAATAAGGAGCATTGGCACATAAAAAAAGAGGAAATAAGCAGGATAAACTCAAAGTATGAAGGCCAGTCAGGATGAACGAAAGGGTGAAAGAATGAAAATAAGTAAAAGAATCAGAACTGTTCAAAATAAGAATCATGTGCACATTACACATGATTACATTATGTACTGGACTGAAAGCTTTTTTTTCAAAGTAAGCGCACATTCTTAGGAGAAGCCCCTGCTGTCACTTTTTTTCAAAACAAATTTACAAATTCTTCTGTGAAATGTCATAACTCATAGAGGACTTTAAAAAAATAAATACATTAAAAGTCTTTGAACAAAACAAATTACTCTGCTCAGACAAAAGATTAGGGAATTAAGGGAAGGAATTAGGAGTGTCAGACAGTCAATTTTAATCTTTTTCAATAAATGTCTCTCTTTTTATTTTATTTAAGTGATCTGAAGCCACGGGTTGCTCTGCCCATAGAAAAAATACTAGAAATTGGGGACATGTGCAACATCAAACCTTCTCTATAAGCCCTACCACTAGATGGAGGGATTTGACTGCATGTAAGAATCTGAAAACAAACTGGCACATTGATATTGGCTGATGATGACACATGGCAGAAAACGGGGAGGGGGATGATCTGTGGCCACTCCCAGGAAAAGAGCTTGTTATGCTCAGAGTACATACCATTTCCAAAAATGTTCACAGATGCTCAACATTTTTCCTTTTCATTTTGAGCACTGTTGAAAATCAACAGATAAGTATATCTGCCTTCACAGCTATGACAAAGCAGATAATTTAAGCAAAACTCCTTGTATATCGACATGTATCAAATCTCCTCAGCTGCAAAGAACAACAGCCAAAGATCCAATTCTGTCCTGTTCATCTTGAGCTGATACTCAGCGTTCCAAACACTCACCGTATCCCATTTGGCGTTCATCTTCTCTTTCTCAAACTTAGCAAACTCCCTTCTGTCATGAATGATCATCAAAAGCTTCCAGATCAGTAGCAGGGCCAAGCCAATCAGGACAATGCCAGCGACCACGCCTGCCACAATGGGAATGATGTCAGGACCAGAGAGGCAGTCTGAAACAGAGTAGGGTGCAGATTTTATTACCATGTGGATAAAAAAATTACCCAGTTTTTTATAAATAAGAAAGTCTTCAACTTCAAAATTTATACCAGCCCAATTAATTGTTTACCTGGTTTTTCAACCACATGGACCTCCTTTTCTGTGTTGTTGTTAATGGCATAGGTGTAGTAGAACCAGCAGTCGTTGGCATCTCTCTCCTTGCAGAGCATCACAGGGTAAGCCATGGTGTTGGGCTGGGGTAGCTTGTCCCTGTCTTTCACTTTTATCATTGTGAAGTAGTTGCATTCTTCCATGCATGTCTCTTTCTTCTCACCTGTTCCAAATGCCCGGCACTCGACACAATCTCTGAGGACAATGAGTGTCATCAAATTGGATTTGATTGTGTTATTGGAGTTAATAATGACCTTTACATTTATTTGGTGGAATATATTTCTATCTGTGTTTTTTTATTTCTGATTTGATTTCTTACTTATGCTCAGTACAAACTCCCGGACAGGTAGGGCAGGCTTCACACGTGGGGCCCTGGAATTTGGGGTCTGTGCATTTGCAAGTGCCACATTCACAAGTTCCTCTACCATTACAGATCTGCTTGTTGCTTGCCAGACATGTGGAAGTGTCCAAAGAACAATCACAGGCACTTCCAGTCCACATGGGGTCACATACACACACTCTGCACTCACAGCGTCCATGCCCTGAAAACCAAAGACAATCACACCTTCAAATCTTGAATTTTTTTAACGATGGCCACTAATTGTGATGAAAGAACGGTAAATTATAAAAACCTATATAGTAACAAATATCTTTCAGTTGTCTTTTATTCTGACATACTCACCACCACACAGCTTGTTTCCTGAGCGGTCACAGTTAAAGTTGTCACATTCACAATACTGGCCGCTGTACCTCTCCTCTGGGTTATCCCTCGTCTTGCACTCACATGTGCCGCACACACAGTCCCCGTTGTTACTGCAGATATCAGTGCCGTTGTCTTTGCGGCAGGTCTGGTCCATATCCTCTGTGGCCACATCATTGCTGCTACATTCACATTGTCTGCCCACGCGACCTTCATTACACCTGACATAAGAAATAAGGTGTAATTATGAGTGGTTTCCTTGCACAGAGAAGAAAAAACGGAATATGGCTGAATGTGAAATATGAGGAGAATTTAGAAATGGCCTTACTTGCAGGCTCCACATTCAAAGGTCCCATTTCCAAAGTGACAGGCTGACCTGTTCTTGAAGCCATATTTGTGGCATTCACACTCACAGATAAAGTGGAGAATAACTTCTACCTCTTCAGTGAATCCCAAAGGCTTTATCTTAATGGTTTCAGGCTTGCCTTTTTTTGGACAGCCCTTGGATGTAATACTGATGCTAAACATGACCTTGGAATGGAGGAATAAGGGAGAAATGCTGATTCAGTAATAACATAATACATTTGATTTGGTTATTAGGGTCACACAGGGTGGTGGAGCTGTACTGAACTGCATCTCAATATTTTGCCTCCCTTTTGTAAATACGGTTAAGCTCAGCATTGAACATAAAGCAGAATTAATATATCAGGGTCATATAATCCTTGCCACAAAATTAACAAAAATCAGTCAAATAACTCAATTTTACAACTGCTCCTGATAATGCATCAAGAATTAGTTTGGCAATAAGTAAAGTAAGTATAAACATACTTTGTAATGTTATAGGCAAAAAGTAAAAAAGACGTTTTGAAATGTTGTGGTATAATTCATCTTTTTTTTTTTCAAATCAAGGACCAAAAGGAAAAACAACTCTCAAAAATAGATTTGAAGAAATTGAAATGGGAAAGTACAACATATCTTAAAAATGGCACACACTGAGGAGGAGAATGTCAAAGTGGAGCTGAGTGAGTTTAAACACAAGTGACTTAAATAGAATGGCAATGAAAGAAATAAAAATAAGTTGCCATGGTGCCTCTCTGTGTTGTTTCTACCAAAGTACACCACAGACATTCAACCAAAAAATGAAATTGCGTCAGCTTGTGAAAACAAACACAAAAAAGTCTCCTTCATTGACAGCTATGTACAAAACAAAGATAACAAAAATAAAAGGTACATTTAAAATTCTCACCTCATCTCCAATTGAGATGTTAGAGCATTTCCGTCCATTTTCACCCTCACTGACTACTCCGTTTTTACAGTGGGAGGTGTATGCTATAGTCACTCCCTCTGGAAGCTTGCTGTTCTCTAGAATAACCTCTGAAGAGAGAGCCTGCCAAAAACCAAAACATAGAAACATAATTGTTGTTGCTTCCTGCTCTGGAATGCCATCTGGCTGCTTTGCGTTGAGGGCTTGCAATCATAAAGGCTTATCTGAGCATTAAGAAGGTGTGTTTTAGGACAAAACATCTTAACTTTTCTTGCTTAGTCAGATTTTTTAAACAAAAACTTTGTTTGGATCATGATAGCAAATGATATGTGGACCAGTGTCTAATAACTTGGAACAAAAGGCACTTACATTGTAAGCATCTATAATTAGGTTGATAACATTGCTTGAGTTGGCAGAGAGAGTGCCTACTGCAGACTTTGGTATCAGATTCTTCAGCTCCTAAAGAGATAGGAAAAGTTTAGAACAAGTAAATGGAAAACTCACTTAGAAAATACTCTTATAATCTTAAATGGATTAAATAACAAAAGCATACTTTAAATTCTTAGATTTTTATACATGTGGACATAAGGAAAAATATCTGGTCTTTGCCAATTTTCTTTATATGAGATCAACTGCATGTGACATATTATAATGTGTCATAACTTTTAGCCGAAAATCAGACGCAAAGTGTTAAAAACATTAACCTTACTTCTTTCTCATAAATTAAGAAATTAGTCAGTGATGTACAGCTATATATAGTAAGAGGAAAAAACAAGAAAATTGCAATAGAATGCTAAAGTTAACCTGATAAACTGGCTGAAACTCCTCAGTGACTGCAAAGATGGTCTGAATATTGTTGTCGCTTAGCTTCTGAACAAGGTGAGCAATAGATGGATAGTCCTTAAAAGAAAATGTAAGAGATAAATTACAATTACAACTTAACATGACCATCAAAATGCAAGAAAGGTCTGAGCAGGATTAAATATCTTACATAGTAATGACTCATTGTGTAAACATTGTTCTCCAAGTGGCATTTTCCATCATTAGGTAGTACAATGCCCCCCAATTTGCCATCGCCAGCAAAGTGGAAGCCAGCATCAGTGGAGAAGACCAGCAACCGAGTCACATTTCTCCAGCCAATGTGTTCCTGATTAAAACAAAAAACTCGTAAACACAAAGAATTCATAAAATACCTTTTTACAAGTCAATAAACAAACACTGTGTCTATGAATTTTGTTAATGCTTTTGTTCAAACCCCCAATACAATGCAGATCCAGCATTACAGTTAACATCAAAGCTAACAATAAGCAACACTGAAGAAAATCACATGGCAAACTCAATTAGATGTGATACTAGTGACAGTGGAGAGATAGAAGAAGCCCAGAAAGAAAAAGTCTCGTAGAGTAAGCGGGGAGGTACTGTGTAAGTGGTAATTTCTCTGAAAAGCTAGGTCTTCAAGAGTTTCTTGAACATAGACAGTGATGCTCCTGTTCTCGTAGCGCTCGGTAGGTCATTCAACCATTGTGGAACGAAACATGAAAAAAGTCTGGATTGTCTAAAGCGTGATGTAGGCACTAATAGATGACAACATTTCTAAGCCCGGAGTCACTGAATTGTGAGATAAGCCTTTGCAAGAGAATTAAAGTAGACGGGAGTTGCCCGTAAACCCTTTGTAGGCTAACATAGATGAATATAATTTGAAGAAGGTGGCTGAGGGTGCCAATGCAGCTCAATGAACAGAGGGAAGACATGGGACTTTTTGGGCTGACTGAAGACCAGACAACACTGTAGAAGTTTTATAGTACAGGCTAGGAGACCATTCAGGAGACTGTTGTAATAGTCACGGGGGGACATAACCATAAACTGCACCAGGAGCTGGGTGACATGTTGGGTTGGGTACGTCCGGATCTTTCTCTTATTCTTATTTCTCTTATTTTTTAATGTGAAGCGACATGATCTCGCAATGGAGGCAACCTGATCTTTAAAAGTATGCTGATCATCAATCATGACACCCAAGTTGCTAGCTACCGTTGATGAAGCAAGAGATAGTGATTTGGATGCGAATACTGTGGTGTATGTTTGGTTTTGCTGGGAAGACAAGCAGTACAGTTTTAAAGAGATTTAGTTGGAAGTTATGGGCTTTCATCCATTTTGATGCCAGAGAGATAATCTGAGATACGTGCGGAGACCGTGTGGCTGTCAGGTGGGAATCTGAGTCAGAGTGTGAATACTTTACAAAGGATCACTGAACAACAAAGCAACACTTCCTATTTCTTACCCCACACACAGCCACTTGCATGATGGCGTCAAAGCCCCCTTCAGGAGAGTCCAGGTTTCCAGAAATGTGCTGCTGTCCCACCAGCGTGTTAAACAACTGGCCATTTTTAGTCAGGTTCAGCACATTTTTGTAACTGAAGGGGCTGGTGCAGTTCAGGTCACTTGTGCAAGGGTTCAGCAGCTTGGCAGGTGTGGTGCTGATATAAGGCATGACCGTCTTCTCCACAAAGGACCCAAAACCTTTAAACAAAAAGGTGGATTTACAATGTTGTCTTAATAAAACTAACACATTAATTAATATTTGAGGAAATAAGCAACTTTGCTGAAGATTTAATAAGAAGTTGGATTTGGGACACAGTGCTCTGCACTGAGGACAAACAGATTCCGAATGAAATATGAATTTCATGAGAAACATTATTGTTTGTTATCTCTGGGGTATATGATGTTCATGGAGCAACTAGTATAAGCGTACCATAGATATGAATGTGTGCAACATCACTAAGCAGTATTTTAAGTCATCCAATTCACCAAATTCTTTATGGTTCTCCACTTGCCTCTTAGTGTTACCCCATGTTTTGAAAGAGTCTAATAGTAGAAAAGAAATAACCAAAAAATGTTGCCATGACAACTTTTTAAGTTTAAACAGGAAGAAATTGTAATTGTAACTGTAATTAACTTTGAAGATGTAAGGATATCGAAAACTCTTAAGCACGCGGCTCCGTTGTCAGAGCCTTTTTTTTAACACTGAGGCTTAAACAATATTGCAGAAAATGTATGGATCTTTACAGGCTAACGAGCTTAACGCAACATAAAACCAATACAATTAACAAAAAGGTCACAGCGGACCAATGAAACTGTTTAAATGAATCAAACACACTACCACTAAAAATCAGCCATTTTGTGCTTTGCGCACACATAACATACTTTTGTAGACAGATGCTGCCTATAAATATATATATATACATATTGCTTAAGTTAGTGGTTGCTGCTTGTATTCAGGCACTGAAAACTCAATAGAACATTACAGTCAGCTGTTGACAAGCTCCAGATTTAGGTTTGTACTGAGACAACATACACTGCCGTTTTACCCCTTTCTGTATGCGAATTCTTGTGTTGTAAAGGAAGAGTGATACAACTTTAAAGGACTTTGTAGATAGATTTCTCTTGCATGGTATGATATTTTAATACCTGCGTGATTTACAACTATGTCAGTGTGCTTTATTTGTCTGTGAAACAGACAAATTGACAAAGCAATAAGAAAAAGTTTGTAGTCTTACCTATCTTGAAATCAGAGGTGATCTTTGACATCTCCAGCATCAGACTGGTCCCTAGATTTTTCACATTCTCCAAGTCATCCTTCATGGAGTAGGAAAGGTCCATCAAGTAGTACAGATCAATTGGATAATCTTCAGCCCGTTTGAACTTTAAGTCAAAAGACTGGGGTTCACCTACATGACGACAGTCACCACATTTATACCAACTCTACAATGTCATATATATGAAAACTGAACAAGCTAAAGTATCTTTGTAAAATATTTGTTAACTTGTATTTGTACCAGATCGGAGAGTGAGTCTGAGTTTCTGGGGCTGGATCTGAGTGATATCCTCTGGTTTTAAAGGCCTTGCCGTGCCATGTACTTTCTTGCGATTTGTAACAGTTTTGTTCTTGATAATATCCTGTTCTCCAAGGGGGTTCTCAATCATATTGTCCTTACATCCCCTTTTTTTCAGAGACTGAAGTTCATCACAACGGGTAGACACAGTCTCACCTTGTTTCAGGAAATCCTAAAAGCATCAGCAAAGAGAGAATTAAAGGGACCTTCATTCAAAGAAGTCTATCTTTCTTCAGGTTACCTTAACAAATGGTTAAGACTTAGCAGTCCAAGACTGCAAGTCAGACAAAATGAGTAAGTTTAGCATGCCAACAATAGGTATATTTATAGGTACCTATAATCATAGGTTCTGATATATATTTGATATATTATATATATATTTTTTATATTTCATGATGTCTCATTGAACAATCAACAATAGACTGCTCTATAAAAATATAATAATTTATTATAACAATAACAACCATCAAATAGAAGATGTTTTTAAGAGACTATGCATACTGTCATTTTATCAATTTGCAGTGCTCAGCAGTTAATACAGCTGACACCATTTATGTACATACTGGGTCTTTACACCAGCCACATTTGGCTCCAGCCTGGATGCACTCCCCACAGTATTTGGCATTGGCATTGATGCACTCATTCCCGTCTGAAAAATCAGAAAGAGAAGCCATACGGCCAAATTCAGAGAGAGAGGTGACATAGAACAGTCCCTGAAAAATAAGCTACCCTAGAAAGCTCCCTGTGTTTTTGCATTAATATATTTGCGACACTATAATTCACAATACTTGTCAGAATATATTGTCTTAATCTCCTCCAACTATTTGTACAGCTGTAAGATGTAATAAGTCTACTGTTCCCAGTAGACGTATCTATATGTACTGTATCTTCACTACACAATCAGATTAACAAAAATATATCATGACATAAGAGAAGGACGTTGTGTTAATACATTATTGAACTCTTTTTTTTTGAAGATGCAACAAATAGCGTACCCTTCTGTGCATTACAGTAACAGCAGATTCCCAGTAATGTTGTCAACAGGATGAGCTTCAGGTCCATCTAAAAACAGATACACAAGAGAGAAAATCAATACTGCTTTCAATGTTTATGTTTTACAATAATAGCTGATGCTCACATTTATAATTTTAGAAGACAAAAGGGTCAATAAGAGAACCTATGAGAGAGAATTGATTGATTGGTTAATGGCCTAGCTAAAGTTGGAGGCAGTAAATTATCCATTGATAGGACTTGACAGAAGTTTTCTTGTAATTTATCAATCTTTCTTATTACAGTGCAAAAAAAGAGGGAAAAAAAGGTACATAGAAAAATAGCAAACCCACATTTCCCAACGATAGCACACTGCATCAGTTCACTTTTCAACTGTCTGTTTTGGGCCACATTTGACCTTTTTATAGGTATGGCTCCTCTTTCTGAGCTGGATATAATTACACTATGATTAAAACTTACTCTCCTGTTCTAAGTACAGATCATGTTCCACTTAAACAGGCAATAATTCCATCCATGGTGTATGCTCCACACCATGGATGACAAAAGAAGCAGTCAAAATCTATCTAAAACTTATTAATGTATCAAAGTCTATCAAAAATAAACTAGGACCCTAATCTTACAAAAATATATATACCGTATTTTCTGAACTATAAAGCGCACCGGATTCTAAGGTGGACCTTCAATGAACGGCCTATGTCAAAATTGTTTCATTATATAAGGCGCACAGCGCACAGCATAAGAATAAAAGCTACAGTAGTGGCTGGGGTTGCGTTGTGCATCCACTAGATGCAGCTTTGTTGAAAAGAATGCCAACAAAACAGTCAAAGAAGTCAGTAAAACTTTATTAATAGAAACCAGCGTTCTGACAGCTCCGTTCACTCCCAAAATGAATAAACAGCTGTTTTATTATTTTTCCCGAGGTGATGTCCTCCATTCAGGAAACACGTAAAAGAAACAGCGTAATATTGTTACGGTAAATCAAACGTTGGTGCGATTACAATATATAACGGCTAGCATAAAGCTGACAAGCTTTTCTCGGAAAAAAAAAAAATCCCCGGTATTAGGATCAGATTCAACGTTCACCTTAATGTCCGCATTTTTTAACAGCCGCATTCTCTTACTGACTTTTAAAATGGGTACTAGTAGATATGTACATTGTACAGTACTGCGGAATCCCCAGAAGTTGGCGCCTATTTGCCGGGCATGCACCCCGCGCTACTTCTTATAGGAGAGAAAACGGAGTGGGCGGCTGCTTCCCGTAGTTGCAAGACCTGTTGCGACTCATTCCTTATCAATATCTTTGGCGCACCTGATTATAAAGCGCACTGTCGGTTTTTGGAGCGCCTTACAGTGCGGATAATACAAAATAAGTAATAAAAAACATCAACCATTTTTAACAAGTTTAATTTGAGTTGCTTTAAATATGTTAAACTACAAAAAACAGAAGTGCAATATTAATTGGCTAAATTGAGTTAATAGTAGCTGCTATTTCTGGTGTGAATTATAATTACTGATGGACAAAAGTAGCTCAAAATGTGATCATTTTAGTGAGAGACAGCTGGAAGGACTCACATTGGCATTAAAGCTATGGTCTTCTGTAGCATTAACACACAACAGTGAGAAGATTTAATCCCATGCTGAATTCAGTTAATATCTGACAATAAATTACAAACCAATGGAGTGTACAAGAGAGAATATTAAAACATGAGGTTCAGATTAAAGTCGGATAGCGATAAAGTACCAAGGCACTATTTTTTCCATAACATTGTCTGATGATTTTATTTTGTGGAGTAGCCATTAAAGGTCTACATTCCTGTACACTGCTGGTAAAAGAGGCTTTAACAGTCAGTGTGTGGTGTTGACTGGTGCATTCCTGAATGCCAATGTGACGGTGTGTGTCCATTTATATAGACACAGAGGGGCAGACAGGCTGTCTACAGCCCCCCAGATGAGATCAGATGGCTTGAATATCCACTGCTGTACAGTGGTACTGTGTGTTAGAATATGTATTTCTAACACACAGTAGCAGCAATAACTTAATATTTAGATACAGACCTAATGTAAAAATGGCTTCATGTGATAGTACAAATAAAGAATTTAAGACGTGAAAAAAAATCAATGGAACTTACATTGCATTACTAATATAAAACTATATTTTCAGATATTTTAACTTAACTCTTGCAGGAGTTCTGTCTTTGGATCAAGTTTGTGATTCAAGTGAAGTAGTCAGATACAGACTATAAAAAAGACTATAAAGTGAGGTGTCAGTTAAGAAATATGACCATGTTCTCCTCCTTCTGTGAAGTTTAATGGGTGCAAAGAGGACTGAGCAAAGGGGGAAAAAGGGAAAACTGGGCTCTTAATAGACAGCAAGTTACATGAATATTTGTGAATATGTGTCGAAAACTTTGGAAAAAGTGGTTTGATCTAGCAATGCTACCCCCCCCCCCCCCCACACACACACACACACACTGCAGCCTGAAAGTGATCTAAATTAAACTTTTTTGCCCCAATGATACCTGTATTTGATATTTTCATGACAATTTGAACTACAAAAAATAGATTTGTTCAAATGCGATCCAGGCCTAAATCCAATCCATGGGATCTTATGGGAAATAGGCGATTTTTTTTGCGTTTCCCAAGAAACGTTCCTGGCTCCAATTCCAAGGAAAAATAAAGAGCCTCCGGGTTAAATATAAAGACACTAAAGATTCATACAAACAAAGCAGCCGTAGATGTGTCACCTGTCCATTTTCTGAAGAGCTGGACTGTCAACACTGAGCACACTCACTACATGAGACATTATTACATCCTCTACTATGCATGCAGGGTGCTTTAAGTTTTGACAATTGACAATCTACTTAATAAAACACTCCATTTAAAGACAAAGGTTTAACAGCAGACAGGCAGCATGATTTCTGATTTCATGAACATGTTTTTTTCTTGAAATGTTGAAAGGAAAAATGAAAGAATGCCAGTTAGAGGCCACTACCAATTATGGTGAGACATCATAGATGTCTCACCATGAACATTATTCCGATGGGAAGGCAAAAAAGTGGAATTCGGTGGAATTTGTCTAAAAGCTGTAACTTGATCAAAGTATATGCTATCCTGATGCCAACATTTAGGCTCTTTGAAGACTTTTAGGTCCATTTGTCTTGGATCGGATCTTGGCTATTCAAGTAGAAGAAGATCTTCACATTATTTAGGGGAAACAAAGGAAAGAGGTTTAGACCACTTCACAAGCAAATACTGGGAAATATCATGATTTACTGGATTGGTAGTATGTGCCTACCTCTACAGACTCATTATGATCAAGAATTAAATAATTCAGTCGAGGTTATTTCTGCATGTGACAGTAAGTGGTATAAAGGGAATATGAGCTGGTAATATTTTTAGCAGTTCTGATAAATAGAACGGTACTCAGGAAAAAGTTTAATTATGGGCGCCATTGATGGAGTAAACATATGATAAGCAGTCAGATAGATCCAATATTCCTAGAATACCTGTATAAGCAATATGCAGGGCATATTTCATCCTTAATCACAGTGTAATTTGCAAGTTTGTATCGAATTACATGTTGCACCCAAAGTTGTTGTAGAACAGACATGTAGTCAGGTGCAGACACTAATATGTGCACAAAGAATGCAATCAGCGCTCAGCAAAGATTCAGTAGTGCTGACACCAAGGCTCTCATTTCTCTGAACATTTCATCTGGCACATCTTTATCATATTCACATAGATAGGGCAAAAAGGCGAAAATTGGAAACTAAGCCAACAGTAACTCTCTGATAATCATTACGCCAGGGGTCACCAACACGGTGCCCGCGGGCACCAGGTTGCCCGCACGGACCACCCGAGGCGCCCGCAGGCCTGTTCTAAAAATAGCACAACTCAATAGTGAGCAGCGTCTAAAATGTAATTTTGTTCCGTTGCTAATCTTTTTTAATCACACTTGCATTCATATAGATTTGATTTAAAATGACAATATCTTAAAAATATGTTCATTATATATTAAGTTTAAGTTTTCTCTAGTTCAAAGGTCAGTATTGTGCACGTGACAAAACAAAACCAGTGTCAGTGGAGAGTAAGCTAGCGGGCACAACGGAGATGGGTGTAGTTTCTTACCCCAAAAACATGGGAGAAAAACGAAAGAAAACTTATCACTTTCACAACGAATGGGAGGAGGAGTTCTTTTTTACGACTGTAAAAGAAACCTGCGTGTGTCTGATTTGCGGGGCAACTGTGGCGACAGCAAAGCGGCACAATGTTCGTGTCACAAAAGCTAGCATGCTAACTACCCACCGGAAACGGGCAGAAAAATCACATCTGAAATATGCACTCACTCACAGTTGCAGTGTCAAGTTACACCAGATTACAATACACTGGTGAACAGCATGCAATGCCAATCTGTTAAAGATTTGCTCATGAGATTTCAGATTTCTTTTTAATATGTGAGTAGATTTTTCTTTAACCTTAGATAATTGATAACTTTTTGAAACATGGTGCAACATAGTTCATGATTTGTTAAAAGGTTTTGTCAGTGGCTAGTGAAATTGAAAACTCCTATGTAAATGTAGTGATGTACAGTAAGTGATCATTTAAAAAGTTAACAGTTGCTGAGATAAACAGAGATAAAGTGGTGGATATTGATATGTTTCCCATTTTGTTGTCACTGTTGTCACAAATGAGTATCACTAATGATTATTAATAAAGTATAGCTAAAAGCATATTGAGGAAATGTATTATTTCAGAAGAGTGTATCAAATTGGTAGCCCTTCGTGTGACTCAGTACCCATGAAGTAGCCCTCCGTTTCAAAAAGGTTGGTGACCCCTGCATTACGCTATACCGTACAGAGTGTGATAGCGGCTGATGGTTTCTGCACAGCAAGTCATGGGAGAAGAGATGCAGATTGGTTCAGGGACCAGGGCCAACTGAGGGAAATTAGCAATGCTCTGGTAGATTGACGACTTAATGTCTTCATATGAAATGTGGATTGTGCTGACACAATCCAGAATCATTTTCTTTTAATTAAGCAAAGTGCGGTTGT